CTCTCCTGCTGGAACTGCACCCAGAAGGTGCCGGGCGCGGGCCCCGGGCGCACCTCGCACTCGCCGCCCCCCGAGCGCCTGGCTGACTGGAAGTAGCGCTGCAGCTTGAGCCGCGCCTTCTCCCCGGGCTGGGGCGCGGGGCACAGCCGCACCAGCACCGCGCCCGCCGCCATCGCCATCGCCATCGCCGCCCGCTTCTTTCGCTTTCGCTTCCCCGTCCGTGCCGGGGCTCCGCTTCCCCGCCCCCGCCGCTCATGCGAGGAAGGGCAGGGCGGCCTCCCCGAGGGGGACGGGTCCGGGGGCAGCCGCGCCCGTTCATGGGGATCGTCCAGGTGAGGCGTTGGGAGCGGGGCTGGAAGTGCCCGGGGCGGCAAAGTGGGGGGGAAACAAGAGCTGTTTTCTGCCCTGGTCCTGCGGGTGAGGATTCCTGCTCGGCAGCAGCCGCAGGAATCGCGACTGAAATGTTGGAAAACTTCCTACGAGTGTGGGAAAAGGCGGTGCTGCCGGTTTTCCTTGGGACAGAGCTGCTCCTGCAGGAACGCGGCCCGGCGAGCAGGAAAGTCTCTTGTCTCTTTGCTTGTTGATTTTTTTTTTGTTGTGTTGTTTTTTTTTAAAACAGAGTTTCCTGCCCCGGACCTGGAAGGACAACAGCGCTGTAGGTAAGCCTCTCGTTTATCCATCTGCACGGTGCGTTCCTGTTTTTAAGTATTAAAATTGCCAGCTGCAGCCAGCAAACCGGAAAAAATACCATCCACATGGAATAGCCAGAAGCAACCTGAAACGTATAAATGAGAGATGGTTATGAATCAACATCCTTGTTCATGGCTTCAGCGGGATTTGCTTGCATTTTCTGTTCCTAAAAGTAGGAGCTCAGAAGTGTTTTGATGAATTAGTGTGTGTGCTTGGTCGGTGCAAAACGTTAAGGCTCTTTCTGACAAGCAGGTAGCATTCCCTGGAGGAAAGTTTGATTAAACTCCTACAAATTGATGTACACTAATTAACATAACTGCTGCATATAGCAGTGCTGACATCTGCCAAGAGAGGGCTGTATTGCCATAGTGATAATACAAGAACTGCCCTGCTCTTTACCATTCTTTTCGTTCCCTAAAAAAAGTGGTTTAAAAAGCCCTTCTGAATTCTTGAGTTCCGCGCCAGGAAAGAACTGGCTTTAAGTGCAGGCCCAAGAAGAGCCACGGGATTAAGGACGAAGTTCAGTGTAAGATCCCTGTGCCACAGTTAAACGAGTGTGTCTGCAGACACTGCTCTGTGGGTGCAGCTGGGAGTCACTGACCCTGCAGGGCTCTGGAGGTCTCACCTTTGGACCTTGCTGGAAATTCATGACAAAATGCTGAGAATGGCCTGGAGAGGGGGAGAGGCAGCCTTCAGCCTTTGTAGCACAGGAAGTTCAGAGGAGAAGTAGCATTTTCTGCTTTTACAAGCATTTTGAAGCCCTGATTAGGGTGTGGCTTTTCACATTTGCTTTCTCAGCTAGAGTTCTAGTGGCAGTTCATTCAGTTGTGCTGCTGTATCAGCCTTTCAGGCTAGTGCTTTCAATGTCCCTGACAATGGTTGTGTCAGCCTAATGGTGGGGAGAATAAACAGTAGGAAAGAGAAAGAAGAGAGAGGATAAAACAAGTGGCAGGACATGCATCTTGACCAAGCATCCTCCTCAGGGTAAACAGTAAGGCAAACCCAAACCCTCAAGTCACCACAGGCTCAGTGATGTTGTTGTTGTCATCTTTTAGGGCCTTTGGAGGAAGAATAAGGTCAGCCACTTAGAAGGAAAAGGTATCTGAGCAGGCATTTTGGGGGCTCAGGGCATGTTTCACCAGGTCGGGCAGCTGCTGGGTCACAAAAAGAGAACCCTGTAGACAGACTGTTTCAGAGAAGGGCATGTTGTTGTTCTCTCAGGACCATGGCCACGCCCATGCCTTCCTGTGCTCAGTCACGAGAAGGGAGTTGGTTGCTGATTGAGAAGATGAAACTGGAAGTATTCACAGGCTTACAGGAAACAGTGAACAATGTAAGGCTGTTTCTCAGAGTCCAAATATGTTAAGCTGAGAAAGCAGACCTGGACTTTCCATTTTTCTGCAACTCACGCTGCTGTGATTCATAAGGCATTGGAAGGAAAGAGAAGAAGATCTTGAGGAAAGGTGGGAGAGGATCTATTAGATGGGGAGGTTGATTTGAACAGAATAATGCTATGCACTTGAGGCCTTGATTTCTTCATTTTTTTTTGCTTAGTTGTGCTTTCTAAACCTATGGAAAGGAGAGAGATTAGAATATGCTAAAAAATACCAGTAAGTAATAACAGTAGAATAAAATTGGGAGCTATAAACCACACTTCTGTTCTGTATAAAAGGCAATGTTTTGCCAGTATTATTTTGGATTTCACTTTTTATTATTCTGTATCCTAGGGCCAGCCATGGTAATGGATGAGGACAGCTTGATGATCCCCATCACTGAAGATGTCTATGAATTTCTTAAGAAAAGAGAGGACTGTCTAAGTAATCTCATTTTCAAAACGTTTGCTTGTCAGTTGATCTTCAAAAGTACAAATTGCACTGCTGAAGTATACAGGAAAAAAATAAAGGAGGGAGTTGACGTATGTGTTTGTAAGGATGATCTCACAAGACACAAGGCAGATGCTTTGGTGAATGCAGCCAACGAACGCCTGAGTCATGACGGGGGCCTCGCGCTCGCCCTTGTCAGTGCTGGAGGGCCAGAAATACTACAGCAAAGCAAGCATCATATTGTAAAGCATGGCCAACTCAAAACTGGTGAAATAGCAGTGACAGATGGAGGGAGGCTGCCTTGTAAGAAAATTATTCATGCAGTTGGTCCAAAGTGGAATATTTATGACAAGGAAAAATGTTGTAGCCTACTTCAGGAAGCTATTAGGAATGTTCTGCGGTATGTTTGCGATCCAGAACATCGTATAAAGTCTGTTGCCATCCCAGCAGTGAGTTCAGGTATTTTTGGCTTCCCACTCAGTTTGTGTGCTCAAGTGATTGTAATGGCTATAAAGGAATTTGTTGAGGCAAATCCATCAGGCTGTCTGAGGGAAATCCGCCTGGTGAACATTCTTCAGCCAACAGTTGCAGAAATGAAGAAGGCCTGTGAAAAGTTTCTGGGTGGTACCAACTCATTTCAGGAAACTCTTCCAGCTTTACCCAGCCAGCCTTCATCAACTTTCATCAAATATAAAGGCTTTCGCTTGCGCATCATAAAAGGAGTCCTTGAAGAGCAGCAGGTAAGTCTGCCCTGTCATTTGCTGAACCTGAGTTGGCTCCAGGTCTTTGCAGGATGTGGAGCCCAAGAGTTCAGGACACACATTGTATCAGTCCACTAAGTAGTTTTCTTCTCAGCGAGATGAGAACTTACAAATAGTAAATAAATTATAGTGGCAAGGAGTTGTTTTTTTTTCTAAATGCGTATTAAACATTATGGGTTTTTTTGTTTTGTTTTTTTAATATACATGCTGATATAATAGGAAGCAGCTAAAGACTGCATGATTATAACATACCCCTATGTTAATGTTTAACTTCTTATTACAACATCATGGGAGTTCACATTTTATCACACATTCCCTAGAAATCTACTCTTATTTTTTGCCTTGCTTTTTTTCCCTAATTTATGTTCTTGTAGGTGCCACTACTGGAGTTACTCAGCAAACTCTGAAACAGCTGAAAATAACTTATACAGATGATGTGCACCTTATCTGTGCATGTAACGTTAAAAGACAGTGCATCATTTAAATTGATTTGCTTAACTTTTTAGCTAGAAAATCTAATGCAAAATACATGAGCTTAGTCATAGTAATCCAACAGATCTGGAACTGGAACAATCTTAGCCTGGAAGCTACATCACAGGAATTGCATTTCCTGTTAGCAACTGCTGTATCTTAAAAAAATTCATAACACTTATTTTAAATAAGTGTATTAATTGAATAAGAAGTTATTTTTTTCTTTGCTTTTTTTTTTTAATATTATTTTATTGTTTTGTTGGGTTTTTTTACATGAGAGCAAAGGATTGCAAAGTTGACATTTTGGGGAGTTTTATTATGCAGTTTTACAGCACTGGAAGATACGACGTGCCTTCAGGACTATGAGGGAAATAAGCTCCGAGGTCTTGTATCTTTAGATAACCTTCAACAGTTGCAGTGACAACAGTTGCTGCTGTTGTCAGCAATCTGCAAATTTATTTATTTTTTTGCATTTGACATATTGAATTTTAAATCATAGGATGGTTAAGGTTGGAAAGGACCTTAGGATCTTAGGAACCTGGACATCAGGTTCCACCCCCCCTGCTATGATCAGGGACACCTGCCACTAGACCAGACTGCACAAGCCTCATCCAACCTGGCCTTGAACACCCCCAGGGAGGAGCAGCCACAATCTCCCTGGGCAACCTGTTTCAGTGCCTTACTGCCCTCATGGGGAAGAATTTCTTCGTGATGTCTAACCTAAATCTCCCCTCTTTCAGTTTAAAACCATTACCCTTTGTCCTATCACTGCCCTCTTTGGTGAAAAGTCCCTCCTCATCTTTCCTGTAGTCACTTCAAGTACTGGAAGGCCACTATAAGGTGTCTCAGCAGCCTTCTCTTCAGGCTGAGCAGCCCCAACTCTCACAGCCTGTCTTTGTAGCAGAGGTGCTCCAGCCCTTGAATCATCTTCCTGGTCCTTCTCTGGATCCACTCCAACAGCTCCATGTGTTTCCTGTGCTGAGGGCTCCAGAGCTGTATGCAGTACAGAATACACAGAAAATACAGAAGACCTACTACAGGAATCTGCTGGGAAATGGAAGCAGCTGTTGCTTTGCAGTTCCCCTGTGTCCAGTGACCCTGCTAGCTTGGTGACAAGCTTGCTACCCTTATGGGGAGCATCTGCTCAGGCTGGGATAACAGACAGCCACAGTTCTCTCCTGCTCATTGATAATTAGCTGCAGAATTGCAGTTGATGAGGTGTGTATGGGTCCTTTCTATAGGTGTGGTGATAATTCTGTTGAATACACTCAGGTGACTTGAAGAAGTCTCATGCATACTGTTGGCTTCTGAAAAAAGGTGTGCATTTACTGCCTCCGGGAGGTGCACACCTTGGTGTGTTCCAGTGCTTGCCTCTTGCACAGCTGATCCCAGGCAGACAAGGCTTTTTTAAAGGAATTGTTCCTAGAAAGTGTGTTCTCTATAGCAGCAAAGCCTGCAAATAGTAACCTTGAATTGTACTGAAATTTTGCACTCTTTCCTTCCAGACCAAA